CCTTGGATCTGTTGGATTAGCATACTAGATGAGTGCACACGTGTGATTAAGACTCATGGTACGCCTGTGTTGACTGCAACACATATGATCACTCAGATTCTCACTCAAGCGTATTGGACCTGGGCTTCACTTGTTATTCCCACCCCCTAGCGTAGCAGCCCAATAGATTACAACGTGAATAATTGCTAAATGCATCCCTGGCCCTTTTATTTCCATTTTATTTTTCTTATTCCACATTTTATTTTCTGTTTCACTTTTAAATCATTTTAAATAGCAAATAAATTCATAAAAGCATGGAAAAATATGTGTTAGCTAGTTTAAAATGTGATGCAATTTGTCAAATTTTTTATTTTTTATTTTCCATTTCTTTTTTAATTAATTGCATATTTTCTCTTTTAGTATGTTTTTAATAGTTGAAAAATGACATGCCTTGCTTTGTGATTTTCTTTCTCTTTCATTAATCCAAATAAATGTCTAATTTTTTTGTATGATGATGGTTGATCCATTGAATAATATTTTAGTATTTTTATTTCATTTTTTAGATTTCATTTGAATAGGTTTTGAAGCACATCTTTAGAGCCTTCCCCATTTGCATCTCCCTTAGCATATATCATGGTTTTGCTTTCTGTTAGCATCCTTAGACTTAGAGTTTGGACTTGAAACGTTTATCATAGACTCCTAACATATTTGGGATCTTTTAGAAATTTTATTAGGATTTTAGGACTTAATTTCCTATTTTTCCTAGATTTTACATTCTGACTAAGTTTGTGTGTTCCTAATTGCACCTTCTCATAGTTTGGCCTCATAAATGAACTTATAGCCAACTTTAAGCATCCAATTCTTTCATGAACCCTTAGTAAATAGGTTAAGACCTTTATAGGTTCATTTTCAAGTCTCTAGCATGCCATTAAGCTCCCTTAGAGCTAAACATTGAAGGTTTCTTTAGAAGTTTGTGTGATGATTTCTCTCCCCTGTGTGGCTTCTTTGCTTGGCTTTGCCCTGTCCATTCATTCAAATAGTCCTGATGAGGATCCCTCTTGGGAGAGCCTAATCCTTCCTTTGGTTAGATTCTGTGCATTCCTCAAGAGGTTGAGCCTTGAATGAACATTCAATGGCATAGTACATTCCTTTGGTTTTCACTATCTTCCTTCTCCAAGTCCTATTCTTAGGATCCCTCTTGGGAGAGCCTAATCCTTCCTTTGGTTGGATTATGTGCATTCTTCAAGAGGTTGAGCCTTGGATAGACATTCAATGGCATAGTATATTCCTTTGGTTTATACTATCTTCCTCCTACTAGTCCTGATGAGGATCCCTCTTGGGAGAGCCTAATCCTTCCTTTGGTTGGATTCTGTGCATTCCTAAAGAAGTTGAGCCTTAGATGGACATTCAATGGCATAGTATATTCCTTTGGTTTACACTATCTTCATTATCCAAGTCCTATCCTTAGGATCCCTCTTGTGAGAGCCTAATTCTTCCTTTGGTTGGATTCTGTGCATTCCTCAAGAGGTTGAGCCTTGGATGGACATTCAATGGCATAGTATATTCCTTTGGTTTACACTATCTTCATTCTCCAAGTCCTATCCTTAGGATCCCTCTTGTGAGAGCTTAATTCTTCCTTTGATTGAATTTTGTGCATTCCTCAAGAGGTTGAACCTGAGATGGACTCTTGTGTTAACACACATCTAAACCTGATGTAGCTTGGGATGATTTCCTTATTGCTCATCTTGTTTACCCCTCTCATCCATGTTTGCCTGCTTGCTGTGTTGCATTAGGATAGACTTGCATGTGTATATACCCTTTAGTTTAGGTGCATGTCTGCATTAAAGGTTGAGCTTGTCTCCCTTTGCTTGTTTGTTTCTTTTCCTTTTTATCATGTTTGCATTTAAAGGTTGAGGGTTGCCTCCCTTTGCTTGTGTGTTTTTCTGTGCATTTCTGTTTGCATTGAAGGTTGAGCTTGTCTCCCTTGCTTGTACTATTGCATTGCATCTGCATCCGGTTATTTTATATTTCACCTGCTTGATTGATGCGTTTCCTTTTCCCCTGTGCATGTTCCCTTTGGATTCTCACCTCCTTGTTCAAGGATGGTGATGATAGACATTAGGTTTAATCCATGCATGACAACACATAGGATAATTTCCCCTTCAAACTCAACCATACGGCCATATTGCATGATAACATTAGGATGCTTGATAGTTTCCCCTGTAGAGTTCTTTCTCTTCTCATTTTCAAAACAACATCAAAATACCTAATAAAGGCTAATGAGTATTGTATGTTACGAGCCTTAAGCCACTCAGGAAGTGGTGATTGGGGGGCCTCTCCTCAATTATCTAGAGTGTTTAGTACGCGCCCTTAGGGTGATGTGCGACGCATTCGCTCCAAAGTCATAGTCTCTAGTGCAGTATAAATTATAAACATTCATAAAAAAACACTTCTTCCGTAAAAGACAAAAAACAAACATCAAACTTCCTTTTGCCCCGTGGGCTCTCTTAATCAGGAAAATGTTTTTAGAAAAAGAGTGTTGTTAACTCTCAGTTCTACCGTAAACGGTAACGCACGAGTCTCCGACGAGCGAGCTGCATACACCAAACTGCTGGAACTGTTTGTTAACCCTATTCGGGTAAAAACATTAGAATGAACCTGTGTTCTGTTTTATCCTGAACTACGTAAGCTATGATCTCTCATATCTGTTGAGAGTACGTAGGCACAATACTGACGTATTGGCGAGCCACCTTCCTCCATCCTTTTAGTCGTAGGTAGTCGGACTACGTTGACTCTGACTTTCCCATTGCACGAGGGAATACGTAGGCCCAGAACTGCGAAGTTCTGTTGAGTCCTGTCCTTTCCTTTTCTTTTGAGCCAGCCTTGATAGGTAGATAGATAAACAACCCTTTCAGATAAACACACAAGCGTGGATCCCGTCGAGTACAACGGACGTGAGGGGTGCTAATACCTTCCCCTTGCGTAACCGACTCCCGAACCCAGAGACTTGGTTGCGATGACCGATCTTATCCTTTTCGCTAGGTTTTTTTTCCTAATTGTTTCCTTTCACTCCTTTGGGATAAATAACGATGGGTGGCGACTCTTCTGTCTTTGTCGGCACCTTTTTTCGCAATAGCGACAGTAGTTATCATTTAATCCCCTTAAAAATATGTTACGTTCTCGAGGTGTTTGTAATTGTGAAAAGCCTTTGCAATATCGCATGTGCAACGTGTAGGACAAGAACAAAAATGTGGAGGACGAAGATCTTCAAGTTCATCCCAAAGAATCTCAAGATAAATAAGTTTTAGGAGTTGATGGAGTGAAGATTGCGTGAGAGATCGAAGAAAAGAAAATGGTTACCCTTTACGAATCTTCAATATAGATCTTCTCAACGGTCAAAGGCAGTTTTGAAACAGATGCTTCTTTGTGCGATGTGAAGAGCTAGGGTTTGGTTAATCAATGAAAGAACAATGCTATTAGCTTATTCCCATAGCTCAAAATTGGGATTGGAGAAATTAGATGTTCTGAAGGTGTCATTGATGAATGATAACGTGTTTTTCGATGTAAGGGCTCAATGTATGGATTTACTCCATCTATGATAGTTATTATTGTCAAGGGATGGGAATACGATAATGAAGCCAGTATTTTCACCGGGATGAAAGTAATAGGGACTTCTAGAGTTTTGAGTAAGAACTTTGGGTGTTGTTGGATTGCAAGGATCAATGGTGATGGAATGACCAGTGGTGGAATTGTTGTTGGTGATGAAATTGTCATGGGTTTCGTCATTGAAAGTTATGGTTAAAGAAAAGGGGGAAAGTTAAAAAGAAATTACAGAGAAAAATCCTAGGAAAGGTTTGGGGATGAAAAAGGCTCAAATTGATTCTTGATCTCTGATTCCATATTACAATGTAAATGAATGAAGATCATTTGGCTGAAATAAACGCATTGATAATTTGTATATGAAAAACTTAACCTTACAAGATAAATGCCAAGGGATATTTATAGCACTTGGCCTTAAATCTAACAAACCTCCTAAAGCCCAACAAAATCTCTAACAAAATAATTGTCTTAATCAACAACTAACAAATTAAATTTAAAATATATATCTCTAAATGATCATTCCTCGTGTTTATTCAGGGGAACATGGTGAGAATGGCCGTAAATATATAACCACCAGGCATTCTTCATATAATGAAATGTAAGTTTGGTGTTGCAATGATAAGAATTAATTTTGCGCGAATTAATTTTGTAGAAATAACTCTATTGTAAAAAGCGAGTTGGATATAAATGGTTTATTTTGAATTCCTTTATATAAACGTGAGTTGAATAATAAATTTTAGTGTAAAAATCACGTTTAAATTTAAAAGATACAAATTAAAAATTTTATATATATATATATATATATATATATATATATATATATATATATATATATATATATATATATATATATATATATATATATATATATATATATATATATATATATATATATATATATATATATATATATATATATATATATATATATATATATATATATATATATATATATATATATATATATATATATATATATATATATATATATATATATATATATATATATATATATATATATATATATATATATATATATATATATATATATATATATATATATATATATATATATATATATATATATATATATATATATATATATATATATATATATATATATATATATATATAATCAATTCTACTTTAACATAACTAAATATCTCAAATCAATTCAACACATCTAAAATTAATTTTCACTTATTACAAAAATTAAATCAAACACACAGCAAATAATTAAACTATGAATAGCTAAAGCAAGAAAGTTCTTCCAACAATTTATTTATATTGCTTACTCATTTCACCATGCCATTAACAATTACATAATCAAAATCACCAATTATTCTAAGACTAGAGGAGTACAAAGGTGACATTGAAATAATGACAAAGTTGAAAATCTTAGGCATGCAAAATATGAGCAATCATTTGAGAAGGAACTTTTGGAGCCAAAATGCAGAATACTTTGGATATCTTCTCAAATTATCTTTGAAATCAACATATAAGATTCCAAATCGTACTGTGTACCCAGCATCCCATTCATAGCTGTCGGAAAATGACCATGCATAGTAGCCTTTCACATTTGCACCATCTCTGCCAGGAAAATGACATAATTATTCACTTTTTTTATGGCCTATACAAGTACTACTAGTATTATTGTTGATTGGACACCACTCATAAAATCGAAATAATTGAATTATAATAAAACAACATAATTCGAATCATTTTAATTTATTTAAAATTATATTGAGTCAAAATTATTAGTTTAGTACAGTAGTTTGGAATTTTAAATCGTATCAAATCGTTAAAAAATGTTTTTTTTCAAACCAAATTATTTGTTAAAAAATTTTTTTTTGAACGTTTTGAATAAAAAATTTAAATTTATATTAAGCATTTTCATTTTTATTTTCGATTCGATTTTGTCATTTATTTTTGTTTTAAAACTATTTCTGCAACAAAAATTCGATTCAATAATCAAACATAATTGTACAATTATTTTTGTTTTAATTTAGTTGTTTGATTCGATTTAACAGTTTTTTTAACAGTTTTATTTGAAATATTTTATAAAATAATATAACATGATAATACTATTGTTATTGTGTAAAAATGTAAATAAATAAACTGTTTAACTCATACTTTATTCCTTGAAGAAGAAATTTGAGATGTTCATCATGGTATTTAATCCTAATACCATCTTTACGAGCTTCATTGATTGGTATTGAGTCATTCCTTGATTGAGCAATACCTAAAAAAAATTCACAAAAAAATAAATAATAATAATCTAATTAACACACTCATTCAATTAAATAAATAGTATATTTTATAATTAATTAATTACCATTTTCAGTAATGTAAACTGGTGGATTCTTGTAAACATCTTTTATGTGTTTTACAAGATCATGAATTCCCTTTGGATACACATATAGCCAGTTCAAGTCAGTCTGCACAAATATGAAGTTACACTATTATTAAACTTCATAGAAAATAATAAAAAATAATATTTATATAATATGATTTTAAATTATCTTATATCGCATTATATGCAATTTGTTAGAAATTTGAATATCGGGATTGTATTGAAATTGATCTATAGAAAACATCGTACCGCAGGGCCGATGGATACACCATTCTTCAATGCTGTGATCAAGAAAATAAATTGAATGTTTGTGTTGTTTGTTGAATGTTAAAATGCAAAAGAAATATTTTTACAAAACATATTTAGATTTTAATTTTTATAAAACTTACGACTAACAGTTGCTTGAATATCAGTGTAGAATGTGCTGTTGACACTTGTTGGTGGAATGCTTTGTGCATAATAGGTAGAGTAATAGTTTACACCAAGAAAATCATAGGAACCTTTGATCAATTCAACTTCTTCTTTTGTGAATTTAGGGAGTCTATTACCTAAGGAAGTTATCATAGATTGAGGATAGTGCCCATATGTAAGAGGATGAGCAAACCTGGGAAAAAAAATTAATAAGGTTCAATCGATAAATTTATCGTGTAAAAATTCGGTTAAATTAGTTCAGTTGTTAATTGAGTAAGAATATTTGATGACAAAGATACTTTTAGATCAAAAAAGAAGTTTATTATAAATAAAAAAATTCAACTTATGTCGGCTAACCAATAAGAGTTTAACTTTGTAACCGATATAATAAATACTATGATATGATAGTTGTCAAACGGTAATAATATCACTTTAATTAATAATTAAAAATATATATTTCATTACTCTAAAATAGTTTAAAATTTGTATATTATTGAACTTCTACTCAACTTATAAATCTTACCATCCTAAAAAGAAGTCGAGTGCTCGACTTGCAGCTTGACGATCGGCAGTACTTTTGGAATATGGTTCGAAGAAATGAGTCACTAACGTGGCGCCAATATTTCCTTTCTGATGAGCCTATGACAAAAAATGTCACTATTAATCGTTGAATACGTATATTAACGACCATGCAGTCTCGACGGTGACATTAAAGTTTTTGACATTTTCACGACTACAATTTTTTCAAATCATCTGATCACAAATCAATGGTGGAGAATCTTTATATATGATTTTGCTAACACATCCTCCAATTTTCAATATATTAGACTTTATATCCATCAATTTTGATTATTTTTTTTTCCAAATACCTGATATTTGGCCTTGTACAATCTGGCAGCAACAGCATGAGAAAGAATCAAGTTATGAGCAACAATGTAAGTCTCGGTAGATGAGTCACCAAATTCGCAATTTCCAACGTATTTAGAACATCTACCAGGTGCAAATGTGCCACCATTGTAACCATTGATGCAGTAGGAAAATGGTTCATTAAGTGTCACCCAATGTTTAACCCTATCTCCAAATGTCTTGAAGCAAAAATCAGCATAGTTTTCAAAATCCTTCCTGTTTTTTATCCATTAAATAATGAATAAATTAATTTTTTAAAGGATTTAAATTAATAGGATATTGATTTATAATTTGGAAATATAGCTACTTACACTACTTTATAGCTTAGAAATCCTTTATATTCATCTTCAAGACTTTGTGGAAAATCCCAATGAAAGAGAGTTACAAATGGTATTAAGCCTGCCATCATATATGCAAAAAAAAAATGAGTCCATAGAGTTGGTGATTTTCTTTATAAACTAAAATGTTACGAATATTGATTTTATAACGTCTCAGACGGAATTTAAACTTTATTTGTTAAAATTAAATCATCACATTCTTACAATTGAAATTACAAACATTTCATCTGACTCTTCTAACTAAAGTTACACAAACACTTATTAGTAATAATTCATATTTTATTATATTACTTTTTTAAGCCCATAAGTTTGTTAGAGGGTATTTTAGTATTTATCTTATTCTAGCAACCCTAGTTTTAGCTTATAAATAGGGTGACAATCATTGTAACCAAATATCATGTTTTTCTGCCATCATTCTTAATAGAATATTTTTACCTTTCATCATTTTTCTACCTTTGCACCAACAATTGGTATCTAGAGCTCCGGTTCGGATTCATTGGAAAACACGGGAAACACGAGTGAACGTGAGGTCTTGTGTGTTTGATTTTGATTCTTAGATTCGTGTTGAATCTTGAACAAAATCTGATCAGAATTTTAATTCTGTGGGTTGGGAAACACTGTGTGAGAAACATTGAGTGTATTGTGCAAGGTGAAGATGAACGGAAACGGCAACATGAACACCAAGCTTCCAGTATTTGACGGTAAAAACTGGAATCGTTGGATGATCCAAATGCGTGTACTGTTTGGTGCTCAAGATGTTTTAGATCTTGTCACTGATGGTTATGTTCCGGTAGCAGCAGATGCAACAGATGAACAGAAAAACGCGCAGAAGGAAGTAAGGAAGAAGGATCAGAAAGCATTATTCTTTATTCATCAATGTGTTGATGTAAATGTGTTTGAGAAGATTGCAGATTCAACGACAGCAAAGGCTGCGTGGGACACACTGGTTAGATGTTATGGTGGTGACGCATCAGTGAAGAAGGTGAAGCTTCAGTCCTTGAGAAAGCAATATGAGAATCTCAACATGAAGAATAATGAGAAAGTTTCTGAATACATCTCCAGAGTGATTCTGATCACTAATGAGATGAAGGCGTGTGGAGAAACTCTTTCTGAAGAAACAATCATGGAGAAGGTATTGAGATCCCTTACCTCTCAATTTGATTACATTGTGGTAGCAATAGAACATTCCAAAGATCTGAGTACCATGAGAATTGAAGAGCTGCAGAGCAGTTTAGAAGCGCAAGAGTTGCGTTTGACTGAAAGAACTTCTGAAAGGGAAGTAGAGCAGCAGGCTCTGAAAGTAACTTCTGATAGGAGGTATCAGAAGCAGTCAGAAGCCAGGAGAAGATCTGATGGTGGTCAGAAGTCAGAAAGCTCAACCTCTGATAGACAAAAGAATGCTCAGAAGGAAAAAGAGAAGTATGACAAGAAGAAGATCCAATGTTACTGCTGTAAGAAGTTTGGTCACTTTGCTAGAGATTGTTGGTCAAACAAGGAGAGAAAATCAGAAGAAGCAAATATAGCCAAAAGTTCTGATGACGAATCTGTGCTATTGATGGCTTCTGAATCTGATAATATGGATCTGATAGACTGGTGGTATATGGACACTGGTTGTTCAAATCATCTTACTGGAAACAAGAAATGGCTGGTTGACTTTGACTCTGAAAAGAGAACAAAGATCAGATATGCTGATGACAAATATCTTAATGCAGAAGGTATGGGAAATGTCAGAGTGATTCTGAACAATGGGAAAACAACATTGATTCAGAACGTGTGGTATGTACCTGGCATCAGAAGCAATCTGATGAGTGTGGGACAATTAATTGAGAAAGGTTTTTCAGTTACCATGAAGGATAATCTTCTGAAGTTGTATGACTGCAATCAGAAGTTGATTATGGAGTCAGAACAGGGAAGGAATAGAACATTCAAGGTGAATGTCAGAACTGCAGACTCAGAATGTCTTAGTGCAACATGTGCTGAGAAGGAGAGTGAGCTGTGGCACAGAAGATTTGGTCATTTGAATTTCAGAAGCTTACAACATCTAAATTCAAAGAAATTGGTACATGGAATTCCTGCAATTAAGAAGCCTGAAAAGTCATGCAAAGTTTGCATGGAAGGAAAACAACCAAGATTTCCATTTGCATCAGAAGTTGCTCCAAGAGCAAAACATGCCTTGGGAGTTGTACACTCTGATGTGTGTGGTCCATTTCCAGTAGCATCAATTGGAGGGAATAAATACTTTGTGCTGTTTGTTGATGAATTCACAAGAATGACATGGGTATCCCTTATTAAATTTAAACATGAGGTGTTTGATGAATTCAAGAAGTTCAGAATGAAGGCTGAGAATCAGAGTGGTCAGAAGTTGAAGATTCTTGGAACTGATGGTGGAGGTGAGTATAACTCCAAAGAGTTCCAGAAGTTCTGTGAGGAGAATGGAATTGAGCATGAGGTTACTGCTCCTTATACCCCTCAACACAATGGTCTTGCTGAAAGAAGAAATCGTACTTTACTTGATATGGTGAGAAGCATGCTAAAGGAGAAGAAGCTTCCTCAGAAGCTCTGGGGAGAAGCTGTTGCCACTGCAACGTATGTACTCAACAGATGTCCTACGAAGAAGTTGAAGGAAATAGTTCCAATGCAGAAGTGGACTGGAGACAAGCAAAGTGTTAGTCATCTGAAGGTGTTTGGTTCTGTTTGCTATAAACATGTTCTAGAAGCCAGAAGACAGAAGCTGGATGATAGAAGCAAAGTGATGATTCTGATAGGGTACCATAGTACAGGTGCATACAAGCTCTATTGTCCAGAAACCAACAAAATTGAATTCAGCAGAGATGTGATTGTGAAGGAATCAGAAGTTTGGAATTGGGATAAGTCTCAATCTGATTCTGATGTTAGAACTTCTGAAGAAAGGTCAGAGTTAAGAATTTCTGAAGTTGAAGTAAACTCTGACGTTGATTCTGACTCTGATAGTGATTCTGACTCTGGAGAAGACTCAGAAGATGAAGGTGACTCTGATGATCCAGACTCTGATGGTAATCCAGATTCTGGTGGAAATTCAGACTCTGAAGATGGCCAAGGCTCTGGAGGAAGTCAAGCCTCTGAAGCTAGAAATTCTGAAGTTCAAAAATATGCCAGATCCTGAAGTTGGTCAAAGCTCTAGAGAAAGTCAATCATCTGAAGCCCAAGACTCTGAACAAGTTCAGAGACCACAAAGAATCAGAAGCGTTCCCAGAAGATTTGCAGAATTTGACATGCTGCAAGACACTGAAGTAGACTCTGAAGGAGAAGTTATTCAGTGTGCCATGTTAGTAGACTCTGAACCCATAAGTACAGAAGAGGCTCTTAAGCAGAAGCTCTGGCTGAAGGCCATGAAAGAAGAACTTGATGCTATAGAGAGAAACAAGACTTGGAAGCTGACAGAACTTCCAAAAGACAAGAAAGCCATCAGCGTCAGATGGGTTTTCAAGCAGAAGTTAAAGCCAGATGGCTCAATTGGCAAACATAAAGCAAGGTTGGTAGCCAGAGGATTTCTACAAAAACCTGGGCTGGATTACTCTGAAGTGTTTGCACCTGTAGCAAGACATGAAACAATCAGAATGGTGATTGCAATAGCTGCTAACAGGAATTGGCCTCTGATGCATTTAGATGTAAAATCTGCATTTCTGAACGGTCCATTAGAAGAAGAAGTTTACGTGTCACAACCTCCTGGATTTGTGAAAAAGAATCAGGAAGGGATGGTGTACAGATTATACAAAGCTCTATATGGATTGAAATAAGCACCCAGAGCTTGGAATCTGAAGATTGATTCATTTTTTAAGAAGCAAGGCTTTCAGAAATGTGAGATGGAGTACGGTGTCTATGTTCAACATACTTCTGAAGGCAATATGACTCTGGTATGTTTATATGTTGATGATATACTATTGACTGGAAGTTCTGAACAGGAGATAACCAAGTTCAAGAAGGTTCTAATGAATGAATTTGAAATGACTGATCTAGGCAAAATGACATACTTTCTAGGGATGGAGTTCAGATACTCTGAGAAAGGTATCATTTTGCATCAGCTCAAGTATGAATTAGAACTTCTGAAGAGATTTGATCTGAAGAATTGTAAGATGGCTGTCACACCTTCTGATACAAATCAGAAACTAGATTCAGACTCTGAAGGAAAGGATGTGGACGCTACAACCTTCAAACAGTTGGTTGGTTCTCTGAGGTATCTGTGCAATACCAGACCTGATATCTGCTACTCAGTTGGGATGGTTAGTAGGTTCATGAGTAAACCTAAGTGGTCCCATTACCAAGCTGCTGTCAGGATTCTGAGGTATATCAAAGGAACTCTGAAGTATGGAGTGTTATTTCCCTCTGGAGGAAATAATGAGTCAGAACTTCTGAGTTATTCAGACTCTGATTGGTGTGGAGACAGAGTTGACAGAAGAAGTACATCTGGGTACTTGTTCAAATTTCTGGGAGGTTCCATTTCTTGGTGTTCCAAGAAGCAACCTGTTGTGGCGTTGTCAACCTGTGAAGCTGAATACATTGCAGGTGCTGTTACTGCATGTCAAGCTGTGTGGATTCTGAATCTGTTGCAGGATCTGAAGATTAAAGTAAGCAAACCTCTGAAGTTGATGATTGACAACAAGTCTGCAATCAACCTTGCCAGAAACCCAGTGCTGCATGGGAGAAGCAAGCATATTGAGACCAAGTATCATTTTCTGAGACATCAAGTTCAGAGTGGAGTGTTAGAAGTTGTACACTGCAGCACTCAGAAGCAGTTGGCAGATGTTCTGACGAAAGCTATCAAGACTGATCAATTTCTCAGATTAAGGGATGGAATTGGTGTTACAAGTTTTGATGGAATATGAATTAAGGGATGGTATTAGTAATAATTCATATTTTATTATATTACTTTCTTAAGCCCATAAGTTTGTTAGAGGGTATTTTAGTATTTATCTTATTCTAGTAACCCTAGTTTTAGCTTATAAATAGGGTGACAATCATTGTAACCAAATATCATGTTTTTCTGCCGTCATTCTTAATAGAATATTTCTACCTTTCATCATTTATTCTACTTTTGCACCAACAACACTTGATAGATCAAAGTTAAAAAAAACCAACAAATGATAATAAGAAGTGTTTACCATTTGCTAAAATCTCATTGATGAGATTGTTATAGAATTTAACTCCCAAGGGATTCACTTCTCCCTTGCCCTCTGCATATAATATATAATTGAACAATCAAAATCACTAAAAATATTAATAATAATAATAATAATTGAGATGAAAAATCTTCAAATCATCACATGATATCATACTTGGGAATATTCTTGACCAAGAGATGGAGAATCTGTATGAGTCCAACCCAATTTCTTTAACAACCTTGATATCACTCTACAAAATAATTGAATATTCTATTAAATTCTTTACTTCAAATATATTACTTTTTACTTATTTTTCTCACAAAAAACAAGACAAAAATTATTGAAAATTTTGAGTTAAGTGTACCTTGTAACGATGATAAAAACCAGCACCTATATTACCACTACTGTGGTCCCAAATTTTTTCTGCTCAATCAAAACATAGAGAAGGAGAGATTTTATTATTTTTAATTAGGTTTATATGAGTTCAAAATTTTAAATTAATGAAGAATTAAATTTAACCATAAAAAGATAGAAATAGATAAATAAATAAAGTAACCTGGATGTTGTTTAGTGAAAGTGTCCCATATACTTGGTCCCCTCCCATCTATATTTGAAGCTCCTTCTACCTTGAATATTTAAAACAAAATGAAAAAGTCACTGATTCTTGATTATTATAAAATAATATATCACATACCACAAATAAAATGTTATTTAAAATTACACGTTATATTGTATTAAGTTAAATGAGATAGATATCTGAGCAAAAATATCAAACGCAGAGACACAAATTTAAATCTGCGATATTTTACTTATTAAATTTATTTTATTGAGATCTACTTCCTTGTTAAATTTTATTTTGAAAATTTTAGTCATTTTAAACTTATGAAAAAATAAACATATAACACTTATATAAAATAAATGATGGTGTTAGAGAGGGAAAAATGAAGATAAACTAGAAATACCTTATTTTTATTTTTTCTAAAAAATAATGAAAAATATGAAATGCATAGTTTCTAATTATGTGGTTGTGTGAACCTGATAAGCAGAAGAACCAATTCCAAACAGGAAATCGGAAGGAAAAAGACTCCTATTGAATGTTGTAGCATAGTGACTTGGATGGACTTCAGGGGAAGAAGTTCCAGTTCCAGTGACAACAGCCAAAAGGGTAGCAAGAGAAAAGAGATAGAGGAGGGAAGGACTTATGGCTCTCATGGCTGAAGATTTTGATGTGTAAATGTGGTAGTGGTGGTATGTTATTTAAATGCAATAGAGTGGACTTTGGCTTATTTTCTAATTAGATTATTGGAAATAATTGATTTTTTTTATATAACATCAATTTCAATCAGATTTTAAAAAACTGAACCGAATTAAAAATGATTGATTCTTAGATCAGATAAGTTATTAAACCATTAAGAATTGGCAAAAATCGGCCACTACTGACCAAAACCAACCAACATATGCTTTTAGAAAACCAGAGGATAAAATACTTATTTGTTGTTTTAATAAAAAATTTAAAAAATTAAATTAAAATATAAATAAATTTTGTTCAAAATTATTTGAAACAACTTTCTTTTATTAAAATTAATTTTGTTTGTTCGAAATTTATTGAATATGGATTTTGTATTATTGTGTAGTGTGTTTTAGAATTTGAATTTAACAAATAAATATTTGAAATTATAATATTTTAAGATTTTAAAATTTTGAAGGTGTCACGGTTTTTTAAAGATAAAAACATTCAGTTTAATCAGTTTAATAATTATATTTTTTTTTATATAGACTTATTTATTTAATTGAGTTATTCAATTTAATTTAATTTAATCATTTGATTCAATCAATGATTCACTGGTTTGATCAATAATGAAAAAATCCAGTACTCTTATAGATTTGGATTCCCAATTCAATTTTTAAAAAATTCATCTGAATGACAATGATTATCTACCGAAAAGATCACATGAATTTTAAAATAGTATAAATGCATTGGGGTACATGGTAACATGATCTGGTGTGTCCCTCTTTTAAAGATGGCAAAGAAATTATGCAGAAACAATTTTGAATGGCTGTCTAGCTGTAAAAAGAGGCATTTGTTTAATAAGCAAGTTTGAGGGGTTCCATCCTCGTTAATCTCTTTGGATTAAAATGAAATGTAAATTTCTTTATTTGTTTCTTGATTTGATGACACTAGTTTAAGATGAAGCACGAATAATCATCAAATGGTAGATATATGTTATAAAATTTTAAGTGATGAAGATAATGAAATTGTATTTTCAAATAATAAGAAAGCAAAATTGTATTTTCAAATAATAAGAAAGTAAAATTGCAGAAAATTGAAAAGCTGTACAAAGGTCATTGAAAGATGTCGAAGCTGAGAGTCACTATGACAACGCCTCAGTTGCGAGGCAACATTAGAAGTAGAGTTGATAAAATGGGTTGGAATAAACAAGTCGATCTAAAAGTCTCTATAAAATTTTTAACTTGAACAAAAAAGTTAAAACATAAACATATTTAATTGGGTTAGTTCGACGAAGTCGCTAATAACCCATTTATTTAATTTAATTTTTTTTTTATAAAAATTATAGCACATCATTCTACTAATATCCATATTATTTTTATATTAAAGATATAATATTGAATTTTTATTTATATATTAAATGTATAATATAATTGTACATAGATCACACAAAGTTCAATCAAATTATTAGTTTATATATATATATATATATATATATATATATATATATATATATATATATATATATATATATATATATATATATATATATATATATATATATATATATATATATATATATATATATATATATATATATATATATATATATATATATTATTGAAATGAATATTAATATTAAACACATTTTATATTAGTTCAATCAAAATATTGAATAACAAATTAACAATAATAATATTATTATTATTATTATTATTATCATATATCTATTATTATTTTTTTCTTAAAAAATTACTATAAAATATAATTAGGGCTTTTAAGCCCGCCCCATTTAAATTCTAAACTTTTAAGTCCGACTTGTTAAAGGCCCAAACCTATCACGGGCCAACCTAAAGTGGGTCAAGTAGCTCGTTTTGCCGACTATAAGCAAAAATTGACGGTGGTGCGAGGTAGCACCGAAGTCGTGGTGGCGGAGGTTTGGCTGTCATCGACGGTGGTGGCGGTGACAGATAGTACAACTAATAGTATTAGGCGACTAAAAATTGACCATTGGTGGCGACTGTCAAATTGAATATGGGTGGTAGACAATCATCGAGCTACGAGTTCAACTCAGGTGGTTCACAGCTATCTAGCTAGGTCGTTTCAGTTTGCGGAGCTGTTCGTTGATGGGTCATGTTTTTGCCTCGTTATGGATCTCTTGGATTTCAGTAATTATAAATATGAATCTATATCATTCTTTCTAAAACAACCCTCAAAATGTAGTATGAAAGAAAAAGAAAAAAGTTGGGAATATAAAGGGAAACGTAGAGAGACAAGGTTCAAATTTCTATGTTTGTATTCTTGAAATTCGAAAAATCTTTGTAGGTATCTTAGGGGGATTGAGAAACATTTTTAAACACTTTGAGTTTATGTAATTCATATACATAAAGTTAGAGAGATTAAGAAACAGTTAGTAGAAAATATTGTTTGTTCTTGGTAACTTGGGATACTATTTTCTTGTAACAATTTTGTAATATCTTATAACAATTCTTGGAAGAATTGTGAATTAGAGAGTTGCATTATCCCCCATAGTAGATCAGTTTGATCAAACATGGTAAACAAGTTTCTTCGTGCTCTTGTTTTTTATCTTCCTCTTACTTGTTATGGATTTGCTTACGTTGTTTGGCAAGTTATTTTATTGTTTGAGGCAATTTATTTTGGTTAGTTTTGTTCTTTGTCTCACACATCAAATTTTTAGGTGTTTTTAAAGTTGTCATTAAACTCACTAGAATTTATTGAGTTTTCACAACAAGTGGCACCCACCGTTGGAAAAGGGTTTTTATTTACAAGAGCCATGGATAATAAATTGGATATCGAGAAGTTTTCAGGAGACTTCAATTTTGGGTTGTGAAAGTGAATATATAAGTCAGCAGGAGACATCAATTTTAGGTTGTGAAAATGAATATATAAGTCAGCGTAACACAAAAAGTGTATTGAAGCATTAAAGGGTGAGACAACAAAATGGTGGACAATGTCAGTAGTGTCATTATCTTGTGCCTCAGGGATTAAGTTCTAAAGGAAGTCTCTGGCTTTGATGTGTGTAAAACTTGAATCATTGTATATAAATAAGTCTTTGGCTCACAGGTTGCATTCCAAACAATAACTTTATTCATTCCTAATGGTATAGAACAAGTTCATAGTGGAGAGGTTGATATAATTTCACAAGATCTTTTATTATCTAGAGAATATTGAGGTGAAAATTGATGATGGGGACAAGGCTTTAATCTTGTTAAGCTCGTTACTTTGATCCTTTAAGTACTGCAAGCATGCCTTTCTTTATGGTAAGAAAAGTAATATTACTTTGGATGAAGTCCATACTACTCTGAGATCAAAAAAATAATCAAAGGTGAAATATTTGATGATTAATGATAGTGAGAAGAGGAAGTGAGTAAGATTTCATTATGATTAATTCAACATGCACAACAAGGAGGAGAAAATGATATCTGAAGGAGAGTACACATAAGGATTTCATCTTTTTTCTACTTAGAGAGTACACATAAAAAATGTCAGGTGGCGAGCTTGACTCGCTGAACTTATTAGAAAGCAACTAGAAACAAGTCTTTGAGAAAATGCAGATTTCTTCACGTGGTCAATCGTCAACATGTCAAGCATCAACCTTGAAGTCATCTGCCATAAATTTCTAGTTGACCCCTCTTTGTAACACCTTTTTCTACCCCAAAAATATAATGGCAAATCATTCACAATAATTCAAATCAAAGTCAATGCTCCGTAAGCAACGAGTTTTCTCAAATTTACTCAAAAGTGCTCAATTGACAGCGGAACTCAAAAATCAAAATCCAAAGTTTCCTTTTCACCGCAAGGAAATCAGCATAACAAAAACTCAATAAAATATAGTTTGACTCAAGGACCCCAACCCGATGTTACACTACCAGAGCAAGACCCTCTAAGTCAACCAAAGCCAAAAAATCTAAAAAGTCATCGACGGTATCCACGGCTAAACCTGGTCATCTGCATGTTCCCCACGTGGATGTATCATTCAAACAGGCAGTGTGAGTAAAACCATTCATAATAACCAATATAGGAATCAATATATAAAATAACATCATTTTCATATTCAACATCATCATAATCATCAAGGAAACATCAAAAAGCCATAATATCATAAATTACACCAAATTGTCACATAAATGTAAATGCAACAAGACTCATGCATGTGGTATCAATCCATCAAAATTCGATGGACACTGGGCCATCAACCCTTTATAGATCATCGTCAATAGGATTGATTTTACATAAGAACCGGAGCACAACAAAATACCTCATATTCGCATAATGGGACTGAAGCCACAAGAATCAAACACTAGACCGAAGTCTGGATTGCATATGAATGCATGATGCACATGTTGTAACACCCCCTTCTATACCTCCAAATAAATGCATATACAAATTTATCAGAGTGAAAATTTTAGAATAAGGTATAAAGGATGAATGTCACAATTTCACCAATGAAACACTTTAACATTTGCTCCATAAAATATGTAACATTTTCATGGTTTTAGAAATCACATTTCAACATTTAAATTTAAGCGGAAGATAAAATCATTTAATCATTTCCAAAATATTAATTCACATACACATAAGATATCCAGATTAATACATCATGTCAGGTAATTACAAAACCACATCAGCTGATACATCGCAATGTATCACAAAAGAATAACTATACCAGCCTAACTACCCGGTGTTACATAATCAGAGCATTCCGACTCAAAAGAATGAAGCTAACTTCACAAAAAAAGACTCCAGCAACCTAATCTGCAATGCCTCATAGAGCATTATAAAACAACAGAAGGGTGAGAAATATAACCATAATAATCAAAGCATAAGATTATATATATATATATATATATATATATATATATATATATATATATATATATATATATATATATATATATATATATATATATATATATATATATATATATATATATATATATATATATATATATATATATATATA